AGTCTCCGGACATTCCAAGGGCCAGGGGATTCTGTAATTCACCTCCTGGGCGGAGACCAGGGTGGGAGTCTCCGGACATTCCAAGGGCCAGGGGACTTTTGTCATTCTGTTTGTTACTTCAGTGGTTTACAGAAGTCAAGATAAGCATTTGTTTACACACAGATCTTAGTTATCCTGGGCTGCTTATTTTAGTTATTACCGGTAAGCAAAGGCTAGCAATTCTGGCACAATATCACATTCCCCCCTGTTCTTTTAACATGTATTAAATCTTTAATAGGTTTCCTCTTTTTGACACAAGGGCCCATATTTGGATCTCAGAACCATCAATTTGACCTAGTCTATTCCTTCCTGGATAAATTTGAGGAACATGTTTAAAAGGCATGGTCTAAATATTAACCCTAGGACCATTAGCACCAAGGGTCCTGCTAATCCAGTGAGCAGGAATGTTAGCTAGGGGTTTGGGGGAGGGTCTCGGGTGAAAGAAATGAAAGAGCCTCTGCAGTATATCCTGTTATAGTGGAGATAGTTTCACAACCCCAATGGGGGCAAAAGAATTTATTTAAGTCTCCACAGCACTATCACGCCAGTTTCATGGCAGAAGAAAAATTACACTGGTTGAGTAAGTCATCTAAGGCCACAGAGCTAGTAAGTGGTGAAACCAGGTTATGAATCCTGGATGTCTAAACTGTCTCAAATGGGAAGTAGGCATCAACCAGTCAGATTAGTCAAGTGTCAACGGCATAAAGGAAGGGGTACTGCAGGCAAAAGGAGCGGCATGAATAAAGGCAGAATCAGTGTGAGCAGAGAAAGGAAGGCCGTTTAGCAGACTGGCAAGATAGGTCTGACTTTTATTGGTTGCAACCCTAAAGAATTTTACATAAATCTTCACATAACTGAAGATTTAATTGTGGACTGGAGGCAAGGCCTCATTCTCATCTACCCAATGATGTCACCAAACACTAAATCTTGTCTCCTGAGCTCTGAAGTGGCTGACAGTTGGTATTACCTTTTGTCTGACATCTCGAAAGATGTATTTTCTTCAGCATTGCAAGCAGATCTCAAGACTCATTCTGACTAGGTCAGCCTGGGTCTTAAGCCCACCGGTCACCATGCCTAGGGAGATGGGATGGATGGATTAGCTTAATCTAGCACTTGATCCACACTTAAAGCCGGGGATGCAGTTCCCTACAACCAGAGGGCTCCCCAAATGGAACTGAGGTAAGTGGGTAGGGAGAGCAGCTGCTAGGACAACATAGGTTACACCTCTTGAATCCCATTAGTATGTGATCTCTGTATCCTAGAGTCGGAGATTTAATGGATAAAGGTTGTATGGACATGTTGAGAAGGCCTCATTGGAGTGAGGAATGACACTGCTTGAGATCAGATATTTAAGGTAAAAGTTAAGCTGCTTGAGGCCAGGCACAGTGACTCACACCTGTAATCTCAGCACTTTGGGAGGCTGAGGCAGGCGGATCACGAGGTCAGGAGTTCAAGACCAGCCTGACCAACATAGTGAAAACCCATCTCTACTAAAAATACAAAAATTAGCTGGGCATGGTGGCACGTGCCTGTAGTCCCAGCTACTAGGGAGGCTGAGGCAGGAGAATCGCTTGAACCTGGGAAGTTGAGGCTGTGGTGAGCCGGATCACTCCACTGCACTCTAGCCTGGGCAACAAAGGAGACTCTGTCTAAAAAAAAAAAAAAAAAGTTAAGCTGCTTGAACAAAAGACCCCCTAAATGCAGAGGCCTTAACAAGACATGTTTTTATTTTTCTCTTTTTACAGAGCTCAGTGTTCCAGGGCTGGGAGGGGGGACTCTGGCATCTTCACAATACTTTAATTTCTGAACTCAGGTTGGCTGATCCATGGACATCAGCAGAGAAGGGAAAGGGCAAGGGATGTATATTTTTGTCATGACTTCGTCTAAGTGACACACAGCTCTTTGACTCGATTCTCATTAGCCATTATTTATAAATCATAAACCAGACAGGTGGGAAGATGGGGTCTGTAGTGGGGTGGTCATATGCCCACTTAAAACATTGTAACATTTCAGACATGAGATTCTGGTGACTATTGTTAAGTACTTTTCCTGTTCTTTCTGACCCTGAACTACATGTCAGCTGCTTCTCTCTGGCTTGTGCCTTCTGGCTGCTGCCAGGGTGCCCATCACTAGTTAGATCCCGTGGTGGAGGGAGTACCTGCAGCTGAGGCACCATGTTTGAAAGGGGAAAGCGGCTGTAACTGAATTTGCTGCGGGTCCTCAACTGAATTCCACACCACAGCTCTTATTGCTGACACCATGCGGGAGTAACCATCAGAACCTTTCCTACCAGGGACCTCTCTTGTCTTCCTGGTCCTTGTCTAAGGATCTTCGGGTCCCAGCAATGTGGCTAGGACACAGTGACCGTACTTCTCAACCACCCTCCTCTGCCAAATAAGTGGCACTTTTTGTCTGAAACTTAAATTTTTATTTTAAAAGGGGATGACCTCAACCACTGTCTAGCTCTGAAAGGCCCCACGATTACAGCAGACGAGCTGAGAAAAAGTAAACAAGGCCCTAAGAAGTAACAGGGAAACGTGAAGGAGTTTACGAAGCCCAGCCAGCTTTAATTCCTGCAGGACGCACACTCCAGCGCCCACTGCCGGAGCTGTTGGGGCCGTAGATCCCTCGTCGCAGACAGCGATGAGGTCGAGTAATTTCCAAAAGGGAATATTTGCTCTCACAGAAGAATCAAGAAGGATGCCAGTGGAATTAAAGTAGCGGCAATAACTCAGCCTTCCACACAACCGCGCCCAGCGCCGCCTGCCCCGCAGTGCCGAAAGTGAACGCAAAACATTTTGTATCGCTCGTCTGAAGAGCAAGACTCGCAGCCCGGAAGAAGTCCGAAAATAGTCCCATTGCGCAAGCGCAACTTTGCCCCGCCCACTCTCGTACGCGTGTGATGGTAACGCGTGCTGGCGCTACCGGAAGACTGCCTGTCAGAGTGCGCTGCCAATGTCTCGCCCAACCTTTAGCCGGATCTCCCTTTCACTTCCGGTCCCATTCTTTTACGTTCCCGACAAAACATCAGTCTCTGTGGGCAGTTAAAATCTTAAGTTCTTTTGAGCGTCGGCTTCGTCTGCGCCTGTGGAGTTTCTTGGACAGGAGTCGCGGGGCTCCAGGACGGCGCCCTTAGCGACAACATGGTGAGTGGAGTGGGCGGGTGAGGGAGCGAGTGGATAGATGGGCAGGCCATGGGGGCATCCAGCCGCCTGGGTCGCTCATGGCCTAGGGGCTCAGGCTTGCAATGCGGAGGGCTTCAGGTTACTTGGTGTAACGAAGGGATTCTCTTCCTGCCTCGCTTAGCTGTCAGAAATTGGAAAACTGGAACCCCGGAAGCCGCGTTACCGACCTGGACAGTGTCTTAATCCCAATGAAGCTCTTTACGTTATCAAGAGGGAAATTGAGATACAGAGAGGCGCTAGGGCCCGCTCCGAGTTACGGTGCATATAGTGTGTGGTCGGCTGTTTGTCCTAAATACCACAGAGAAGATTAAGAGCTGTTGTGACCATATGTTTCTGGGATTATTTCATTTATGTCCGTTCTCAGTCGCTCCATAATATACAAACATCTCGAGGGTAGGGTCTTTTCATTATTGCTTCCTTAATGTCTAACACAGAGTCGTTGCAGATGTTCAGTAACTATTGAATAAATGAATGGCATAGACAAGAAATGTTCTATGAGGGTGTGATCTCTGTGGTCTGGCGTCATTTGTTGGTTTCTTCATTTCTTCAAGAAGCATTTACGACGTGTAAATGTGAGAATGCATCCAGTGCCGGTACAAATATGATGCTTGGTTACTATAATATTGGCTACTGTATTATTTTCATTAAGTGAAGCCCCTATAAGAAACACGGGACGTCATAGTTAGGTTATAGGAGATATATTGGAAGCCATTGTAGATTGATGAGGACACGCTCCCAAGAAAAAGAGAAACCAGTGAAGTAGAAGTAGCCCTTTTTGTGAGAAGATATGTCCCAAATTACTGCCGTGTTTGCCTATCTACCAAGCATTTGTCAGGTTTGTTCATGTGTCAGTTCAAGGGGAGAGTCTCAAAGGAGATTTAAATTGAACTCACTTTTGCTGAGTGTTTATAAACTGCATGCCTGGTGTATATATCTTATGAAGATATCCTGTCACCTCTGAGATGAAGTGTGATCTCTGTTGTAAAGATGAGGTATAGAGAGACTACTTCTCAGAGATGGTAAGTAGAAGAACTGGGATTGTAAGTCCCTGACTTAGCCAGGACTCTTTCTACCTAAACTGCAACCCAGAAAACTCGTTCTCTGCCAGACACTGTATTTTGGGGATAATTGAGTTAACATTTAGTGTGACAGCACTTACATAAAACTCACTTTACAAAAGGCAGTCTTCAGACTTATTTTCCCCAAATACCACTGGCAGGGAACAGAAAATTGTAATGCTGAGTGTTAAGTGCCACAGTAAGTATAATCCCTGATAGAGGACACCAGCCTAACTGGGAAGGAGGGGTCACAGAATTGTTGTTCTGGGTGGTCCTAACACAAGTAAAATTTGAAGGAAGAATAATGGAAGTTAGCCAGATACAAGGTGTTAGGGTCAGTGGAGGAGTAAAGATTTTAAGTAGAGCAAAGAGCAGCAGGTCATAGGATTGGGACATCTTTTGATTTTTGTTGTTTATTGTTGTTCATACAGTAGTTCAGGTGATTTGCTTGTGACTATATCCTTGTAAAACTTTTCACTAAAAAGTAAATGGAAAGAAAAAGATGTATTTTAAACATGGGCATTTTTCTTCCCTTTTCTCTCCTTCCAGGCCCGAAATGCAGAAAAGGCCATGTAAGTATCAACTGTTTTTGGCTGTACATTTTTTGTAACTAAATAACCACCATGTAACTCTTTTTGTATTTCCTCTTTTTTTAATCTGAGCCTTTTGAGAAGCTGTTTCTTTCTCTACATATGTTAAAAATAGCATTCCCATATTTGTCCATTTGTTTTCTCCTTTTGTGTTTTCTCACAGTTTCCAGAACTTAACACAGGATGTACATTTGTTCACCTCTGGTTGGTGCAGGGGTTGTGAGAGTGACAGCTAGAGAACACCATGATGTTAGTCTTTTAACACCTGGATGTATTGCTCATCACAGTGGTCTAATAAGTAGAGTTTGCCACAGTCCTTATGTGTAGTGTAAGTAAAATAGATAATTGGGTGTTCAGGAATACAAATTGCATCATAAACCCTACTCCTAGGAATCCCTAACTACACTGTGGTTTCTTAATTGCTATATATATGAATGACATTAAATATGGTCATAAGCAGATCTACCCTATCCAGGAACATGGGTAATGAGAAGTCTGTGTAAGCAGGATCTAATGGAGTCCCTTATATCCCTGGTAGGACGGCCTTAGCAAGATTTCGCCAGGCTCAGCTGGAAGAAGGAAAAGTGAAGGTTCGTGTAAATCTTCCTCATGAACTGTAAAGTATCAAGAATAAATGCAGAATGGGTACAGTGACTCATGCCTGTAACCCTGGTACTTTGGGAGGCTGAGGTGGGTGGATCACTTGAGTATAGGAGCTTGAGACCAGTCTGGGTAACATGGCAAAACCCCTTCTTTACAAAAAATACCAAGATTAGCCTAGCCAGGCATGGTGGTACCTGCCTGTAGTCCCAGCTACTGCGGAGGCTGACGCAGGAGGATTGCTTGAATGCAGGAGTCTTACGTTACAGTGAGCCATGATTATGCCACTGTACTCCAGCCTGGGTGACAGAGTGAGAACCTGTCTCCAAAAAAAAAAAGCTGAGTGCAGTGGCTCACGCCTGTAATCCCAACATTTGGGAGGCTGAGGGGTGTGGATCACTTGAGATCAGGAGTTTGAGACCATCCTGGCCAACATGGTGAAACCCCATCTGTACTAAAAATTCAAAAGTTAGCTGGGCATGGTGGTGGGCACCTGTAATCCTAGCTACTCAGTAGGCTGAGGCAGAAGAATCACTGGAGCCCTGGAGACTGAGGATGCAGTGAGCTGAGATCATGCCACTGCACTCCAGCTGGACAGACTTCAAACTGCAAATGTTCCTATTTCTTGTCTGTACTTGCTGACACTCTTGAGAGTCTGTATACTTGAATTCCAGTACCTCCCCATAGCTGAGGTATGGTGATGGATCTGGCTGCTTGTTTTTCCGTTTCTTCTGTATTACAATGGCTGGGTCCTTTATTACTCCAGCTCTAATACTGAATAATAGGGAGTGGGGTATGATGTGGAGAACAGCTGTAAGCTGAAACCAGTAAATGATTTCATCTCTTAGAGACAGCCAGATTAGAGATAATGATACTATTCTTTGAATTTTTTTTGTTTTTTTAAAAAGATTATATACACACGTATATATATACACTCATATTTATGTATGTTTATTTTAAACACTGATAGACATTGTTTCTTAAGGTAATATAAATATGCCATAAAATAGATGGAACCTAGTTTAGCTGTCTCTCTGTTGCAGGACAATTGTTTCCAGTACTAAATACAATGCAATGAATGTTTTTCTTAAGGAGAGATTGTAGAATGAGGTTTAAGGCTTGATGAGGATCATCTGGAATGAAAACTTCAACTGTATTTAGGCCATTAGATAATTTAGGCTTAAGGCCTGAATCAGTTGTGAATGTTAGGATGAAACTTGTAAGTAGTCTAATGGCAATGTGTTATTTTTTTCTCCTTAGGAACGAAGACCGTTTCTGGCCTCAGAATGTACTGAGCTGCCCAAAGCTGAGAAATGGAGACGACAGGTGTGTTCTGGGTAAATCTGATTTCAGTAGAAGTAACAAGTCTCATTGCTTCTTATTATCTAAATGACTGTTAAACCAAAAGTCTAAGTATTTTTAAATACCAATTTTGAATTATAGTTTTCTGTGCTTTCTAACATATTCAAAAATCATTAAAATGTATTACTTTTTTTTTAATAGATCATTGGAGAGATCTCTAAAAAGGTGGCTCAGATTCAGAATGGTAAGCAAACTTGTTCCTTTAAAGTGGTTGTTTCTCAAATCCACAATTAGACTTGAGGAATTCAACACTCTTCTCACAATAATCAATAGAACAAGTAGACAGTAAATCAGTAAGGACATAGAAGAGCTGATCAATATGATCAGTCAGTTTGATCTAGTTGAAAGATCTACTCACAACACTCTACCTAACAAAAAAGAATACAGGTTTTTTTTTAAGAGCACATGGAACATTCACCAAAATAAAACATATTCTGGGCTGCAGAACAAATGTGAGCAAATTTAAAATATTTGAAATTATACAAAGTATTTTCTCTGATTATAACAAGAGATTCATATCTGAAAAATCCCTAAATATCTGGAAATTAAACAACACCGTTGTAAATAACTCATGTGTCTAAGAGGAAACAACAAGGAAGTTAGAAGATATTTTGAATTTAATTACAGTGAAAATATATGTCAAAATTTAGGGAATGAAAATATTTATGGGATATAGCACTTAGATAAAAATGTATAGCACTGGCCGGGTGCGGTGGCTCATGCCTATAATTCTAGCACTTTGGGAGGCCATTGCTAGAGGCAGGTAGATCGTGAGGTCAAGA